TACTCATATATAAATAGACTGAGGGGTACGTATTGTCGTAAGTTTACACAGACTTACATACAGTTTTCCATTCTGTACAGGGACAGAGTGAGACAGTCGGGGATTTGACTGCATGTCCAAACCGCGACTTATTGACAGGCAGTCCTGAATCCTTTGTAGAGCATGCCACAGATATACCACAGCTTTGTACAGAGGAACCGCATCTCGTCAGCGAGAGCCTACGGCTTACCGTAAACCCAAAACAAACCACAGGAATACCGCAACAAGTGCTCCGAGCGGGCGGCGGTGCCTCTGAGTTGGTGAGCGGTGGGTGCACAGACGAGCCACGCGACTGCACTACTACTATGCCTACGGACAACTCAGGGACGTATGGTTCGATGGCGATAGTGGGTGACTACCATACGAATAAAGGCCTAACCTCTGAGACTGGTACTGGACAATTATCCAGGAGTTGTGATGCAACGGGTGGGAGAGGTGCGACTTTAGATACACCGAATCCGGGTCTGAGCGCCGGCCGGCTGAACGCTGCAAACTGTGGCCAATCAAATTCAAGGAGTTCTATGGTGGGGACCAATAAGAATGCAGGGATGCGCGATGCTAATCATAGACTAACACCCGTGTTTTTAGTACAACCCACCGAAGACAACGAGACCGTTGAAGCCTTTGTCGATAGCGGTGGCATTAAAACAGTCGAGGGTCATGGCACCAAAGCACACCCACACATCTGTACCAACACACTCACACATGCACCCGAAAGGTCGAGAACAGGTGCAAACGCAGCCGAAAGGTCGAGAACAAGTGCAAACGCACCCTCACGCACCCATACACACCTGCGGACCCACACACACACACACACACGGTCTAGGTCACATGAGTTGACGTCTGTGACCATAGCCCCTACACGCATTAGACCCAGCACACCGACCAAGGGGTCGCAGTCAGGCGAAGTCACAGAGGTGTTTAAAAGTAGAATCTATTTTAAAAATAAAACCGCGCAGTATCAGGATGCGAAGACGCCATGGCAGAAGAGAGACATACTGTCTCACAGTGGATCTCTGTCATCGACAGTCAGGAATGCACCCCTAAGACGCACGCTTACCCCTCTATTCTGCAGGTAATACACACACACACACACA